GTCTGAGACACTATTGTTTATAGCATCACTCCTGATTTCCTATTTGCCAAGTATTATTTTGTATTTGTGTTTGTATCTTATTTCCATTTTTCTATCAAATTATCCATCAGTAAGATTTAACTAGCAGTGATTTTCCAGGCTTCCAATACCAATTTTATTTTCAAGTTGCTTCCCATGCTGTACTAAAACAAATAGCTGCTATTGTCCTACAGTCTTCATTTGCCTCTTACTTACCCTGTGCAGCAACACAGTAGATATTTCTTTTATTATTTATAACTTCTGGACATTCTTGCTTTTACATATTTTTGTTCAGAGCAGAATATATATACTATTATGTAAGTGAATATCAAGTTCTAAAGGACTCATACTACAATATATTTTAAGGAATTGCTGGGTTAATATATCAAAAAATACATATGCTTATTAAAGTCCACACACAAATATGTTTCTGTCACCCATCTTTGCCTTCTCTTACATACACAGTGAAAAAATGCCTTTTCTGATCTAGATTTTCAGTAGTATGATTTAAGAGTTCAAGCTTCAGCAACTATTTCACAGATTTCATAAGCTTTTGCCTCCAGTGTTTTTACCCAGACTATTCTGCTTACTTTAACTGAAATCACTAGAAATATTAGTGCATGATAAACATAGGTTTATATCCAAAATATTGAAACTGAAAAGATAGAAACTTTCCAACATGAAGGTTTTCTGGAACATCAGGAAAACAATTCCCAGACACATCCAGCTTTTTATGTGCATCAATGAAATCTTCATATGACACACTGAAGCATTTCAATTTTTTTAAAATTGGTTCTTCACAGAGCTCCAATTTTCAAACAGAACTAAAAGATATAATGAGAGCTAGTACCATACAAACACCATGAGCAGAGTCTAATGTGTATTCTATTGTAATTAAGACCAGTGATTCAATACCTATTGCTACTGGCCAGGTATCATAGCAACCTTGTGTCACTGAATACTGCTGGAAAACTGTTCAGCACTAGCAAGACCATGCTTCAGGAAAATCTACAATGGCACTACAGATTGTCAACATCTGTGGGGGTTGTTACAGGGAGAACAACAAAGAAACCTGCTTTAAAAAGCCCTATACTTAGAAAATGGACAGGGATATTACAGTGGCACTACACAATGATAAAAAAACCACAAAGACAAAGGAAAGAACATTTTTTGTCATTACTTACACAACTTATGCACCCACATCCTAACATCCATCCCTATAAACAGAGTTGCAATAATGCTGCATCATCACATTATTTATATATATCCACAAAGCACTTTTTCTTTTAAACACAAGCATCATTCACCACCAACATTAATCTGACAATAAAACAGCCTCACTTCCAAAATAATATTTAAACTTTCACAAATGAACTCTAGATAGTCTTGTATAAATCTGAAAAAAAAAAAAAAAAAAGAGAAAACAGGTTACTATGAACAAGAACCCAATATTGATTTTTCTGCGGTGCAGTAAAGCATCTCCATTCTATTTGGCTGCTGTCAAAGCCACTCTTTAACAGCTGGAGTCAAATTGCACTATTTACAGCAAGAGCCCTTGTCAAGTGGACCATAAGTATTCTAACAATACACTATTCAAATGGCACTTTGCCACACAAATTGCTGACTTGATGAATACCCTATGTCAATGACTAAGGCCAATATAAAAGTTTCATTTTTATGAGAGGTTTTACATTCACATATTAAGTAAAGCTTTCTTGAAAAACTATTAAGCTATATATTTTGTGTCTTTTGACATTAAAAATAATTAAAATCTGTTTAAATATATCAAGGGGATTTGACAACATTAATATGGATCTTGTGTTAACTGCATTTGTCACAGTCATCTGTTATTGGTACTCCCACTGGCACGTGCAGCACAATAAAAGAATTAAAATGGTCAAAACACCATGAAATCAAAACATTCTGCTTTTGTATCCGTGATTTACATGATGGCAAAAGTTTTGAAAGAAAGCCTTTGAAGCTGGACTACTGTGTGAGGATATTTATCTTTTTTAGGTTAGAGAAGAGAGAGAGACCATTATTTTGAAAATGTTCTTTCATCTTAAATATATGAATGGTAAAACAACGTGATAATGGAAAGAATAAAAGCTGAATTTTACTTGCAGTCTTCATGTGGATCACTCATTATACAAAAGGATCACTCACAATTACAATACCAACAGGACAGAATAGCTACCCACTCATTTTTCCTGTGACATAAATCTTCTGAAATTGAGTGCTTCAATATATTTGCTAAAACTGATGATGGGGTTTTTGATAGAAAAGTTATTAGCAATTTAGTATGTTGTTAAATTTCTAATACACAATTTGCCAAAGAAGGAAATTGATTATGAAATACTCATTCTATATTAAAACCCTCTGATAATATGAAAGTTTAACATGTGTAGTAATTATACACTTTAATTAATACAGTATAGAATGTTCAAGTCTGATAACCACAGTCCTCTAATTAATTGGGATCTGAATTTCCAGAATATTTCAAGATGCTAAAATACAATGGAGCAGAAGAGTCAATAGAGCACTTTTTGAAAAACCTGAAAAAGTTCTCTGAACAAAACTTAAACCAGCAGACTTGATATCAAGCCTTCAATTCAGCACTAACAGAACAGCGCTAAAAATGCTGCAGTTCCACACTCCTTTTGCGTAGCCAGCACTGGGCTTCTGCAATAGCATTAAGGGGACTTCCATTGTTATGTTTTTCCCAGGTTCAGCTACACTAAATACATTTAGCCTCCAGCATCTCCCACACCAATCTACAGAACCCTCTCTAATGCAGATGCAAGAGGGAAGAAGCTCTGAATGTACTGGATGGCACAAGTTTGATGAATGCAAAGTGTTTTCCCAAGTACAGAACCTAATTTATTATGAATTTAGACAAACTTAACAGGTCTGCAGTAACAAAAAACCATGAAAATAAAAAAAGACTTTTTCTGTCAAAATTTCTTTAAGAAACATCAATAGTATTCTTAATATGTTTGTATTTGGACAAGGTAATTAATGAACAATATTTAAACATGAAAATAGAATATTCTTTTGGAAATCAGAGTAGACAAGACTTAGATGAAAATTATTACATTACAAATTATTACATTTCCACAGTTTCCTGTTGTGGTATTTCTTCCAGTTTAAGATCATGATAATTCCCAAAACATGTTAAACTCCACACTTTAAAGTTGATAAAAAACTGTTTTCCCATATTTCATAATCAGCACATTTTCTTTCCTTCCACCTTGTTAAACGCATGCAATTTTCACTTTAATAGATGTGCCTAAAACTACTTACCAAACAACTACCAAAACTTTTTTCCTTTGTTCCTATTTAAGAAGGCAAGAAACTATTCCTTTTAACAAACTAACAGGGAGATCAGATTCTGTGCCAATGGCCAACTAGTGCACCATCTGCCCCACAACATGCTCAGCAGGATTACACGCTAATAAGACTTTTCAGAAAATGGGATCAAAAAGAACTTTAGAAATCAGACTAAGGTTAGTAAAAGGTCAAAGAAAAATATTAAGAGTTAAACTACAATCATTAGAAACTCAATGTTATATGTAAATTTGAAGATACAATGAAGAATAGACCATAAAACTCAAGAGTGAGGGTTTGGATCAAGCTCTACTTTATCAGTTTTGAAATATCTTCTACTTCATTTCCTTTTATTAATAAAGCCAGAATAAAGGCTAGAGACCATTCTGAAGGCTGTTTCTATATGTGATTGAGGGAAAATATTTTTCATTCTCAATACTTGTGGTAAAATAATTTCTGTGTACACTGAGGTTTGAGGAATAGCAGACATGACTTTCCCTGTTTATTGCAAAGAACAATTCCCAAAACTCATTAATTAAAAAGTGGTAAGCAAGAACGAACAACATGAAAGCCCTATTCTTAAGATACACTTTCATCAAGAGTTCAGTGAATATATTACCTCCTGATGCATAAATTTGGTTTAATAGGTTTGTACCTGTTTTTTTCTACATGAAAAAAACAATACCTATCTCATTGAATTTGAGATTGTATTAAATTAGACATAGTACAATAACCAGTTTTAAAATTAGCAAATATTTACTATATTAATTTTTTTTAAATCTACAAACAACTGATAAAAGTATAGATATATCTAGGCCACAAGAAAATAGAGTGACTATTGCATTTTTAATCTCATTATTTGACGTCTCTGTACTAGTTTTCTCAGTTTTAACAGCACATTAAAACTACTTTAAGCCTATTTCCATCTATTTCTCTTATTCAAAACAAAAAGAAAGAGCAAATCTTCCCCATCAGTCACAATTAGTTGGTTTAATGATTTTGGTAGAAAAGTATTTCTAGGTAAAGCTAAACACAACACTCTCCCTGGCCAATTCTTTCCTGAAGATGGTCATACTTATTTGCAGCCCAGTACCTCACAAGAGCATTACCATCTCATTTTTAACCAAGAAGATGCCAAATTTAATCACACTAATAAAAGCATAAGGCACTTACAGTTTATTCTGTGATGATGCTAACAGAAAACACACACCCAATAAAAATTGTCCCTGAACAAGAGGGATCTGTGGTCTCATTAGAAAATCAATAAAAGAAAGACCAATAACATTGGATCACGATGTGCTTGTTCTCAAGACACATTTGAACAGGTGAAAGGTGCATTCAGTTGTTCTCAGGATACAATTGACAGGTGCAGTCACAAGCTAGAGGCATGAGGAAATAGGATCTAACTACAGGTAATAAGGTCTGAGAAAATCCTTTTGAGATTATCTATTAATGACCTTGCATAAAGCCCTCTTCCAAGTGTCCTCATTTGTCTGTGACATGGGGTTGAAAGAAAGTTCATTCAGAAGAATGGAGAAGCCTTTATAAACTTAAAACCAAGCCACTATCCCACTTACATATCAGTGGGTGAAAGGGTAAAGAATTGAAATCACAACTAATTACTCTGGAGAAATGCTTTACTCTTCACTTCTTACCTTATCTGGAGATTTCTCTGCAGGAGTAAGAGAAGGGCCCATGCCATGCTTATATGAGCTGGAGTGTTTGGATCCAGAATTCTTGTTTTGTTTTGAGTCCTGAGACACAGGAAGCAGAGCATCTGCCACTAAGTATTCTGAATCTTCAATGGCAGCAAGAATTGCTCTTGCTGTTTCACCAGTTTCATGTCGTTCCAGAGTGCCTCGAGAAACACAACAGAAGTTGTAACTTTTTCAATGAGCTATACTATCACATCTCTATGTAAGCATCATAGTACTAATATAGTAAACTACATGTGAGCAAATAAATCACAAAATATCTACAGATGAGGCAAATAACTCCTCTTTTTAAAATAAAAAATGTATTCTACACTATTGTTATTATAAAAATAAAGCTTAATTGCTAAAGAAATTACTGCAGCAAATAACTTTGTTTCAGACCACAAGCAGCTCCAGATATTTATATATTTACATGTGGAGTAAGATGCAATTTTCAAAGTTAGCCAAAGATATTCACAAAAATATCACTTGCCCTAACTGCTCAAAACAGTAATTTGTTTTCTCCTCACAAAGGCCTCACAGAGCATCTATATCATTAACACTGTAAACAACAACACATTTATGTAATATTTTAGTGCTGTCCTCTAGTGTTCTGGATTACAAATAGCAAGGGAAAGCTCAGGTTTTTTCATTCCATTCCTAAAAATTGTCAGACGTAAAGGTTTATACATGAATGTACCTGTAGCTTAGTCATCAGGGTATGAACATAATGTTTTGGAGAGTATTTCATCACTTGTATGGCTCTCTGGAATCTAAATCCTCTAGATGTTATACCCAGTTGTATTATTTTAGAAAAAATTTCATCTAGTAATAACTTTAGTAATACTATTTTAATTATAACTAACATTAAAGATATCAAAACTGAGCTTAAATGTATTTGAAATGAGCTACTATTATATACTACACATTTCCTATAGGAATTAAAAGAAATTGCTGAAATAGCATGTTTCCTATAAATATCAGAGATAAAATACATCTGAAGGGTTTTTCAAGTATTAAATATCAGCTATAACACGAAATGTTTTTCCCTTAAGTTTGAATTCTTTTTACCCTCAAGTAATACAACATGAATTTTCCCTTTCACTCCTACAAGAAAAAAAAATGTGTAACATTGAAGTTCTATCAGTAACACCTGCTAAAAATATTGGACTGGGATTGAGGGATCTCATACAATAAGTGTTTGTGTGTATATGTGTGTATAAAATCTCTTTATCTGAAATTATTTCTCTGAAACTCATGCATTTCTGTTCACTGCAGTATCACCTCTACTACTCATACGACAAAGTCTTTGAATTCAGAACAGAAGAAAATAAGGCACCTGATTCTTTGTCCCCTGTAAAAATCAGTTGAATACCGCAGATTACTGCAATATTACACTGAAAGAAGAATCATCCCCAATTGGTTTTAATGTGCCATTTTCTTAATTCCTCCCCAGGACTTGCAGCCAGTGCCATGGGGACAGTTACTGAAAGGAAAGTTGCCCAAAAGGTCTTCCCTAGTCAGACTGTCCACAAAGCCCCCAGCACTGACACATTTCAGTATTTCAGGAACACAAAAGTCATGTGTACAGATGCCTACAAGGGATGATTATACAGTTCGTGCTGGACACGAGCAAACATTCTTAAAAGTACTACAGCATTTGCAAAGTGAAGTGTGGAAATAATACAGTCACTCAACAAACATCATTTCGGCCTCTTATATGTGTAAAGTAGCCTTTCAAGTTATAAACATGCCACAGAACTATGTGGATTATTCAGAGGAAAATATAAACAAAAATTCAATGAAATCATTGTTCTTCCTACTTTTAAGTGGAGGGGCTGAAGCTTGCTCTGTCACCTTCTGTGGCAAGTCCACTACACAGTGAATATTTGTATGCATAAAAAAATTTTAGTTCACAGAAAAAGAAAAATATCAGAAGCAGTAAAAGATACAGAAAATGTGACAGCAGAATTTAACCTTGGAAGACAATGACCTGAATGGAATATACAGGTATTCTTGACATACATGAAAGCAAATTCAGGTTTTATATATTTAACACATCTTATTTTAAACAGATGACAGATATGCTTCCATACATTATAGACTTAGCAAGTGCAAAGTGAGAAACCACCAACAGGTTGTTGGGTTACCAAACATTTCTGCTGCAAACTCTTTTTTAAGTGCATCAGGACAATGCCATTGCAAGCATACCATTTTTTGGGTAGTTTGGAGAAGAGAAAATTAACATCAACTGAAAAAAGCCCTTCTGAGCTCACACTAAGCAAGAAATAGGGCTTGGCTTCTCACATGGAGAACTTATAATTGGTTTGGGTTTTTTTCTTTTAATTTTTCTTTTTAAAGCACATTTATAGAAAGGAACATTGAATAGCAAATACCCTGGATGACCAGCTTATTTTCTTACTAGCAAAACATTATGACATCCTGGAAACAATTTGAAAAACTCCTATTACATCTTTAAACCATTTATATATCACTCATAACAGCTATCTCAAATTTCTTTTAAGAAGCACCTTCCAGAAGATGTCTATTTTCTTAAAAAAAACCCCATCCTTTCTTACATCTACTACCCAATCCTGTTCCCTATTATAAACATCTGTATGCACAGGTTTGTGTGTACAGCTGGAGCCACAACAAAATGGCACAAAGTGCATAGGAAAATATGTGACCATGAAAGTATTACAAAGTATTTATATTATATCCTTAACTTTACTCTTCTGAAGAGCCCAAAATACTCATTTACAGATCAAGTAGTTGGCAGAGACAAAATAAAGGAAGAGACCTATATTCTGCAATGCCTGAATACATCTGAGAAACAAACAGGGAGGATGAGAGGAAAGGATTTAGAAACCTGTATGTATGACGACTTTGACCAGTGCAAAACAGTCAAAATGATACTGGGGCAGGGTGGTTATTGCTCAGAAACTGTTATTTGAATATACTGTCTCTGATTTTAAAGGAAAATCAAGTTGTAAGAAAAGACAAAGCTTGTACACATGAGAGTACAGGAAAGAGGACAGAAATAAAATTCACTCTCAAACAAAGTATTTAAATCTGAATAAGCCCAAAGGATTTTGATTGAGGAGCATAAAATAACAATGGATGAAACTGAAGAGATAGGGGTGTCTACACAGCAGCAACACCACTGCTATGACCCTCTACTATACATACAAAATACAGAAAAAGAATGTCTTTATCTCTCTAAAGCTGTGACCATGGCAACCAAGTCTCAGGAACAGTCAAGAGTGGAGTATTTCACTCTCCTGGGCAGCTCTGGACCACCAGATGCGACTGGCTAGAGACTGCTACAACATCTTATTCTTCCTGTGGACCAAGTACTACAAATTGTGTCTCTTGGTGTTAGTGGTGTCCAGACAGTTCTCTGGGTTCTGCATACTGAAGGATGGATGCATTTTTACTGGAGAGGTCACGCATATTTTCCTGCCTCAAGACGAGGCATTCACTGCCATCACATGACCTGTCATATCATCAGGCTCCAGTGCTTTCTGTTTGCTGTCACAGCTAAAGCAACAAAAATCCTCAACACTGCAGTGCTGCTGTGACCTAGTAATTCAGATGACTCTTACAGCATAACAGTGCTGTGTGAATGAGAAATTATTTCACAATCGATTTTATTTAAAAACAGCATGTGGGTCAAGAACAAATCCTTTACTAGTAGTCAAAACAGAAAACACCTTTCAGAACAAGTACCATCTGTAACATTAGTTGGTTTATTTCCTGTTAAGATCTTTTCCATAAATACCCATTTCACCCGAAACTCTCCCAACATACTTTCTACTATGATGGTAGAGTAAGGCATACAGAAATTTTATGTTCCTTGCTACAAAAATGCTTGAATTTTACAATTCTACAATCTTGCTCCAAGACAGTTATGAAACACTTTGTGTCGTATTGCTAGTGTTACCACTCTAATATCAATTGGCTCAAAACAGATGGAACAAACATTACATTAAGAATATTTATTCCAACCAATACCAAGACAAAAGTAAATGCCACCTAGCAAATAGAAATTGACTAGATTACACAAATTAATGTATTATATTGTTATATCTATTAAAATAATCTTGTCATAAAATCTAGGTATTTTACTTATAATGAAGAAATTAAAAATGGAGATGCCTGTGATGTGTCTTTGCAGACCCTCTTTATTCATTTTTGCATTTGGAAGATTTCTGTCATGTCCAACTCTGTGTGTTAATGACATTCTTCAGAACAGACACTTTCAGAAGAGCATTAGAAAACTACTGTCAATATCCTTCAGCTGAAAAAAAGCTATGAAGAACAACACAAAGAAAACTACTGAAATCTAACTTATAACGATGGTTTATATATGTGGGTAAAAAGAGCAATTCCCCAATGCAGCCAGTCCTTACCTCAGGATTTCTGATGCAGGCAAAAGACCCCAAAAGAAAGGACACTCCCATTCTCTCCCTGACTCCATCTAAACTGTTCCAAACAGTAAAGGACAGCAATCCTTTGAATGAATTGTTAAGACACAATAAATGTGCTAAACTGGGCTGAATGGAAGAAGTTACCAGCTCTGAATTTAGAAGATATGCAAGTAGTTTTCATCTAGAAGGATGGAATGAGAATCTATCCCTTAGTGTCTGGAATCAAACCCCTCCCTGGCATGCACTCTTCTGACTGCACTGCATCATAGCAGTTTTCAGTTACACTTCCTATATACTTATATACACACATGTATAAAATCTTATTAATAATAAGAATGAAGACCAATTATCAACTTGAGGGAACAGACACAGCTAAATTCCATACACGTCCCACCAAGTATACAGAAACATACATGTGTATGCACACATATGAATATAAAGATACACTCTTGTATACTGACAAGAGTCAGATATCCTCAGCTTTAGCCAATTGGGAAAAAGATGACACCACCTTTTTTTTTACCGAGACAGACTTTCCCAGGCTCCACTACCCTTTATTATTCTACATCAATAAGTATTTACTGAATGATGACTCAAATTTAGAGAGCTATGAAATATTCAAGTACAAGCTACAGACTGACCCGAGGCTTACACATATGAAATATAAGTTGCAATAAAAAAAGAGGCAAAACATTAGTTAAGTTTTACCTTAAGACTGACAAAAACAAACAAAA